CGTGCCCGTGCCCCTGGCCCTGCCCGTCCCCCTGGCCCTGGCCCTGCGTGCCCCTTTGCCGGTCTTCCCCGGAGAGGAAATCCCCGAGCGGAGGCCGGCACCCGCCTGTCCCGGCAGATCCTCCTCCTCCTCCTCCTGTCTGGGGCCCGAGCAGGCTTCGGGGCAGGGCGAGGGCTCAGCGTGGCCCCAGCCCGGAGCCGCGGCTTGGGGCTGTCACAGAACAGAGCGGGGGCCGCCCGGGACCCGCGAAACCGAGCGCTGAACCGGCCCCTGGAGCTGCGCCGGGTCTCGGGCGCCGTCCGGTGAGATTGAAGGAGTGGAGATGTCGACTGAGAAGTGCACTGCCCCGCCTGCAGCCAAGTCTGGAAGTGCCGGGGTTTTTAAAAGCAGGTTAGGTTAAAGAGGCTGGGGCAGAGGCTCTGCTTTGCCTTCAGGTCTGCTGCGGGTCCGGCAGGACTTAGTACTGATGGTGAGCATGAACTTCTAAATTAAGCATGACTCCACTGCAGTGCCTTTTTCTGTCTCTGGAAACACATCCCTTGGGACAAAATGCACTTCAGCTGTCAGTTGTGGGTCAAAGTTGATATCCATATCCAATGTCAATGGAGATATAAAACCTATCACCTATGGAGATAGGTAAATGTTGATACCCATATGCAACTTTAAGGGAGAAGCAAAACAGATTTTGGTGAAGACACCAAGTTTTATATCAGGCTAGGTATATCAGGGGCTTTTCCTTACATTGTTCCTGTGTCCTACAAAATTCCATGGAGCTTCTAGTAAGTTTGTCTGCCTAAGGAAGTTTCATGTAGCATGCCTATGAACATATAATGGAAGCAGAGAAGTAATACTGAGTGAATATATGTTTGCTTGTAACCTGCCTGGAAAAGTTCCCAGGTTATGAATTTATTTCTGCTGCATATTTACATTCACGGAAGGGTATTTGTCCCAGAATTCCCCCTTTCTGAAAGGGACTATTGCATAATGCTTTGAGAAGATGAAGGTGTATTCTTCCCACCTGCTGTCTGTGGATCCTGGAAAGATTTAGTCATGAACTTCAGTATTGGAATGGTTCTGTGGAGTCAATCACTGGTCTGCCTGTGTAACTAGGGATGAGCTTAAGTATTTGCAGGAATTGACCAAAGAAGCTCCTCAGAGATGGTGTTGTTACATTAATACTTAGAAAGTTTATGAAATAAACCAGAACTTTCTGTTTTCTTCTCTCTCTCCGCAGGCCTTGACCTACCAGGGAGATTTCTCTTTGCAACCTTGACTCTGATGACGCTCATTGCCATTCTGGTGTTTATAGAGGAAGCAGTCTACATCTACAGGAAAATCCCCTCTTCCAAAAGATCAATCATAATTTGGATTAATGCTGCAGCTCCAGTAAGTTAACACAGAAATGAGATAAAATTCAGTGTTGAAAATAGGGCTTCTCTGAAAATCCACAGGGGCCACATGAGATTTATCTCTGCCCTTCATACAACCTTCCTCCTTTTTCTCTGTAGGTCATCTCTACTACTTCATGCATTGGCATGTGGATTCCTCGCTCAACAATGTTTACAGATTTCACAGCAGGAATGTGAGTATTCTGCTTGTTTCTAGGTGTTGCTCCAAACCCTGAATTTCTTCCCTTTTAACATCTGCTGCTCTTGGTAACACTGTCATTCAGTGAATTTAACAATTCAGTAATTTTTTTGTTTGAGTTGAAATCTCTTGGCAGCTCTTTCCTCGGAGGTGGAAAATGCTGAAACAGTTCCCAGTGCTGCAGTCCCCTAGTGTGGGAATATCAGTATGAAGGATCTGTGACTCGCACGTAATTGATTTCTCAGATTGACAGTCTCTTTGGAGCAGTAGTCTGTCTTTCCTCTCTCTGCATGCCATGTGGAATGAGAGCCTGGCCTGTGACTTCTTCCCTGCACTTTTACTAATGATGAGCCCTGGAGGTCTATTATTAATGGTGCCAAGTGAGCCCCCGATGAGTATATCAATGTAAAAATATTCCACAGTTGTCCTGATGAAAGCACTTTATGTGTGAGCACGACAGCTCCGGCATGCACAGAGAAGGGAGAAATGTGGTTCCTGCTTTCTGGGGGTGATGGTACAGCCCTGGTGGGCAGGAGCGAGTAGGGCTGTGCCATGGCCCTGAGCACTCCAAACCTGGGGATGACTAAAAGAGGAGGGACCTCACAGTAGCAGGGAACACTGATGGAATGTAGCAGCGTGTGCAGGTAATGCAGATTGCCAGAAAATTCCAACAATACAGTCTTGTGGCACTTCAAGCATTTAAATTTATTTAAATTAAAGGGAATTCAAATTCCCTTTTCTCCCTTGCCCAAGCTGCAGGCAGTGCAGCAGAGGACCTCTTTTATTGATTGGATTCCCATGTTTGGTGGCATAATCTGCAGTTCCTGGGTAGGGTTGTGAATGTGCAGCTGGGAAAGGAGGGAGAGGTGGGGTTGCAGCAGTCGGTGCTTTGTCTGCAGAGGAACCACACCCTGCCTGGGCCAGCACATTTGGTGATAGCTATTTATGTGAACCTAGCCGTGTTTGCTGGTTGAAAGCCATGTTTGAGGAGAAAGAGGACTTGTTCTAAAAAGCTCAGACTAGTCAGAACTGGATAACTTATGGAAAAATACAGCCAGAATGACTGGGGCCAGGAAAGCCTGTGTTTTAATACTGACTCTGCAACCAGACACCAAATCAGCTTTGTGAAATTCCACACGTGTTCTGTGTCTCAGTTTATTCCTCTCTTAGTGAGGTTAGGGCTGTTCTGGTCCTCCAAGGTGATGGAAAGCAGAAGGTGTCTCAAAGATAGAGCAAGAATTTTCATTGATTGCCAAGCACAAGCTGTAAAAACCCTGTACGGAGGTGGCACTGGCCTGCACAGGCATATGAGACACACAGGCAAGTTTAAGCTGGAATACTCTTCCTCTCCTAGATTTTTTGCCATAGTTATCCACAAGTTTCTGATGATGATGATTAAAGAGTGTGGAGGCCAGAAGATGCTCCTCAGGAGGTTTGAAAATGGTCGCTTCACCATCAGCACCGGCCCCTGCTGCTGCTGCTGCCCCTGCCTGCCTCGTGTGCCCATCACCAGGTGAGTCGTCCCTTTACGATTTCCCAGATTGAAAACGGCTGCTGGAATTCAGCCTGCTTGGCAGGGCCAGGCTAACAGCAAAGCTTCCCAAAAGTCAGTCTCAGGCCATCTCAAGATGTCTCTTTTAAACAGCATCATCACTTTGGGGCCGTACACCACCATTAATTCATTTTGTTCCTATAATGGAGAGGTGTGTGGGAGGAGAAATTTCTACTCTAGAAAACCTAATAATTGACATTTCAGTTTCTTTTCATTCTGGAAGGGAAAAATACCCAATCTTGAGACTGGGTATTTTTCACAAACAGAATTGTCAAGTGGAGGCTCTCTTGATAGAAAATTTCTCTCACTTTGATAACATTGAAATGTTTCATTCTGACATTAACTTTAAAACTACTTGAGATTAAAATAATTTTTAGAACAAAAAGTAGATGTAATTCTTCAAAGCTTTGTTCTCAATGAAATGGCATTGTCTGGTGAGGCAAAAGAAGATGTTTTCTTCTTCTAAACTTAGCATTAAAGCATCTTTGAGAAGTGGGGTAAGGATGGAGAGCTACAGGAGCCAATATACTGTAACATAAACCTGTCTTCCTTTGAGCACTGCCTGGTGGTGCTCCTGCTCTGGTTAACATCACCCCGTCACTTACACACCACTTCACAGCCTGGACACCTCGTGTATTTCCCTGAGCTTTCCTACTGGCATGGAGCATGAAGCTGTTTCTCTCATTATAAGCAAAATCTGAGAGATTGAGTTTACAAAAGAGACTTTTCTATGGGGCTGTGGGCTTTAGTGTCAGAGGGTCCTAGAGGACTGTATGATCTGTTTGAAGAAAGGCATCAAACAGAACACGGCACAATGGTTTCTGATGCATTTTCAAAAATTCTAATTTTTATTACAATCATTTTTCCTTAAGCTGCCTCATTTGGTATTAGAATTTAAACTTTAGTTTCCATAATTTTATTTTAATAGAGTAACATTAAATATTTACAAGAGGACGGTATGAAGAAGAAGTGGTACTAAACCAACCCAAAGATGCATGTTTGTTTTTCTTCCCATGTCTGTCACTCTGTATAGGTTGTGGTAGCTGGGAGATTGGGAGAGGATCCCCCACTCTGCCTTGTTGTTGTTCAGCCCAGTGGCAGCTTATGCAGGATGATGTCAGCTACTATGGACTCATTTCAGGAGCCAGACAGTGCCTACTACTACTGGCAGGAAGGACAGCTGTCTAAAATTAAAAACGGCTTTTTGCTCTGCAGAGGGCTTAGGCCTCTTTCTCCAGTGTCTGCACCACAGGGAAACCCATCTGCTCTCTGCTTCTAATCTCTAGCCTTTTCCCATTGCAGGGTACCTTTTTAAAAAAAAATGTATTGGCAAGCTATACTTGAGAAAAGTAATGTTTCTCATGCTCCTTCCATAGGTATTCTATGGGGAAACAGGGAGCTACCCCAAGGGAGGGATTCATCCTTCTTAAAAAAATACATATCTGCAGCAGTGGGGAGAATAACAAAGTACAGATGAGGCAATGTAACAACCCATGCAATAGGCAGAAGAGGTCTGGTGATCAGTAAAGATGGGCCCATGTTAACAAGGGAAAAAATTCGTGGCATTGCAGTGACCGCACTGTTTGTCATATCTATTATTATTTAAAGCCCTCTGGGAGTAATAAATCTTTGAAAAGGCACACACTAAGAGGCTGGCCCATTGCAGGTCTTTCCACATGTGTTTGTACTGTTGATAATCCTGTGGTTATTAGCTATATTCATTGAGCAATTCCTATAATTCCTGGTTTGTGGCTATATCCTTTTACACAATAAATGGCAGCCTGTTGTCTGTGAGGCATCTCTGATGGCAGTGTCAAGAGCCCAAGGAACTCCAGTGAAAACAACATTGAAAATATGGGAAATAATGCACAGTAACAGACTAAAACATGAGACAGCTGTAGTAGCTGCAGCTTCTCCTGTGAAAGCCGAAGGAGAGTTCAGTCAGTCTGCTTTTATGCCCTCTGTCAGAAAGTTCATCTGCCCCTTTCCTAGTGGACTTTAGTGCTGGCTGGCCAGATTACATGTGTGTTCTGGACCCACATTATACTGACAGAAGTGAAGAAATCCTGAGCTGTTCTGCTGTCCTTGTGCAATTTACCAAGTGAGAGGTTCCTTTCTTCTGTTAGACTACAGAGGAGCAAACTGAGATTCTTACATGGTATTCTTCATGACGCACTGAAAAACTCCATTCCTTTCAACTAGGTCTGTGTGATTCCCTTTCTTGATCTACCACAGGACTAGGAAGTGGCTGAACAGGCTGATTTGTCCAATTTCATGGGAGAATTGAAATAATAAGGCAACAAGGCAAGAGCAAATGGCATCATTGTTCAGAAACCGGTTATTCAGCTACTGTCTCCCTGGTTGGCTTCAGGGCAGAGAAAGACATCGTGTTTTACCCAGCTTTGGTTAGTACGTACTTGCTGCAGAGCAAGAAAAGTACTATTTTTGTAGAGGCTTTATTAAATAAACATTGGGAAATTCTTGGAAATATTTTCTAATCTTGAAGCTGTTCCTCGCCAAATTTTAGTAACATGCTACAGGATTGGAAAAGTTTTGCAGTTGACAGTATCCAGAAAATGTTATTAAGGTTGCTAATAAGATCTAGGCCTAGCTAATTGATTTAATTTTACTTTATGTTTTATTTTGGCCAGGCAAACCCTCTTTTGGCTGAAGCTGGGCACCTTTCAGTTTGCTGTCTTTCGGCCTGTGCTCATATTTTTATCAATAGTGCTTTGGACTAATGGCAATTATGTCCTTTACAATGTAAGTAACTATTTTTAATCAGAGATGGTCCTCAAAATCCATAGGTTTTAGGGCTGATGTAACTATCTTAGCCTATAACTAATCTGAGACCACTTCCATGTGAGTCCTTACTGTAGTCTTTTGAGATCCTGATATAATTTCTACCTTCCTCGACTCTCCTGGAAAGGAATTGGGCATCAGGGGGTGGCGGGGAGGGGCTGGGCATCAGATTATGTTCCAGTGCATTTCCCAGCTTGTATGGTTAGAATAGCAGGACTGCAAACTTGCCTTGTGGGATGTATCTGCCCTGTGTTTTGTAAGGTACAGCCTTAAGAAACAAGTGTATGTACTGGCATGATAACAGGAAGCCTAATTCTATGTTTTTCAGCAAGTCATGGTGATTTTTATCTGTGCAAAATAATAAGATAGTACTGTACTTCTGCTTTGTACCATGAAAGCTGCAAAATTATGGAGGAATCTGTATCTGATAATGATTTGGCACCTTATGGGTAACTCAGACTTAAAGTAATATTTTTGTCGTTTCATGTTGTAAAATGAACAGCCCACCTGAGACGTCAGGCTGAACACGCTCTCATGAGCTGTTGAGCATTGCCAGCTGCTGCTGGGGTCTCTGAAAAGGCACACATTCCATGGCTGGCAATTGCAACATTGAGGGCTTGTGTCACCTGGCACCTCCCCAGGCTGAACACATCTCCGTGTTGGTGCCTGCAGGAGGAGAGCCTGTGCCAGCACTTCAGTTTGGTACTGGGTGCTTTCCCCATGTAAAACCCAGCAACTGCTGCTGCCACCAGCTTTCATGGAGATAGAAAAAAGCATTTTAACATCATCCAGTTCACAGCTTCTTCCTGGAAACACTGAAGTAAGGTTGTATAAGGTTGTGTGATTTGCTTCTCAGTTGTCTCCCAAAGGACCTGCACTATGGATCAACTGCTTCATTGGTGCCCTCACCCTTTTTGCTCTGTGGGCAGTGGGAATCATGTTTCGAAAAGTTAGGATTCTCCTTAAGTGTAAGAACATTATCCCAAAGTTTGCTCTTTATCAGGTGAGAACTTTAATATTTCTGGTAAGAATTTCTCTTAACTACTGATAATACTCTGCCTCTCTAGTTCTTGCTCCTTTGTTGAAAATTTATGGTATTTTATTCCCATTAAATACACTGTGCAAAGCCATCATTTTACCCGATTAAAGCTGCATCCCTTTGAAGCACTCTCCTTGGCTGCTGTTCAGTTTCACTTTGAGCCACTTTACCTCTGGTCTCTCAGGAGTGCTGGAGATGTGAAAGCCATGTAAATCTATTTATCTTTAGACCGCTAAAATCACAACAGCACTTTCTGTGGGACTTGAAGGAAGCTTTGTAGATGTGGTGTCCTGAAATGCAATGTTAAAATGCTGGTGTGTACCTCAGAGAGGATATGTTGCATTGTGTGGGCGGCTGTTGTTTGAATTGTTTCAGCATTCCACAATATGTTGCTTTAACAGTGTTTTTCTTGGCCATTCTGCACTTCAGAATTAGATAATAGTGAAAATACTGGCTGCAAATCATTAAATAGTAAGGAAGAGAACCACACAGGTTAGATTGAAAAAGCACAGGGACAAGGCCACCCTCTTCCACATCACTCTGAATAGAGTCCAGCAGAATCCTTGGATATGGGTCCTTGAACAGGACATACATGAAGGCTGGTGCACTGAGGTGAGGCAAACACTTGTAAAGGCAGTAACAGGATGATCACACCTGCACACTCTGTTAGGGTGAATTCAGGTTTGGGATGGCAAACTCTGTTGATGTGAGGGTTTAGACTCAGGCAGTTCCAGCAGCAGCTACAGAGGCACTTGGATGACTCCATGGCAGCTGAGGTTTGGCTCAGTGCAATGTGATGGGCAAGTGGTGGTTGCTGAACTCAAGCTGTGAAGAGTTCCTCTGGCAAAGAAGCCAGTCTCATATCATTTGGGGACCACAACATCAACCTGCTGTGGCAAAAAGAGGAGACAACAGGAAAAATATTCTTTGAGTCTTTCTTCCATTAAAGAAGAACATAAGCTCATGGGTCAAATTAACTGGCATTTTTTAAACACTATTACCTATTATTCAGAACTCAGTATTATTTGAAATCCCTGCTGGGAGGTCTGTGTATAATGTACCTCCCAGCTGAGGTTGAATGGGCTGAGAAGAAATACTTTTCAAGTCCAGGATTAATTTAACTCTCCTATTCAGAGCAATATCCTCCTGACCTTAAGATGAATTCTGCAGAATGGCAGGCACCCTGCTGGTAGAGAGGGGAAAGGGAGGGCAAGCAAGGAGGAATGAGGCAAAAGAGGTTCTGTTATCAAAGCAGAATTGTTATGTGAACTATAAACCCCTTTCTAGTAGCTAAGACATTTGTTTTCCCTTTCTGGTGCAGTTTATTGTCATTCTGAACCACCTGCAGACCACTATTATCAACATATTTGCTACACAAAAAATAATTCCCTGTGCTCCACCACTCTCCTCTACAGCAAGAGGATCATGTAAGTTTTTTGGGGAAAGAATGTTCTTCATTTACTTATAGAAGTATCAGTTCAGTGTGGCTAATGAAATCTCTGGTGTTTTCCCAAAATACAAATTTCATGGTATCACAAGCTTTTGAAGAATTGCATTTTTTAGTTTAAAAACAAGAACAAAAGTTTTATAGCTGTCATGGCTGTAGAGAACAACTTGATAATGAGAAGAGCTGGAATCAGAAATGAGAGGAAAAGAAATCAACCTGCATAATTGCTGTTGAATCTCTTGTGTTTTTGGATGCATAATTTATTGCACACTTATTGATGGGCAATGTTGGAATTCTGTAACTGATGTCATTGCTGAGTGTGAGAGACATGGGGACAGGATGATAGAGTTTGTTAGAGAGGTGAAAATTAATAAGCCAGTTACTCATTTTTTGTATGATAGTAATTTCCCCTTTTGGGGGCTTTTCTTTGTCTTCCTTTTTCTTTTTTTCTGGCAGATATAGCCCAGCAGCTGCTCATCATGGAAATGTTTCTGATAACTGTAATCTCCAGAGTGGTCTATCGGAGAAAATACCATGACCTAGAGCCTCCGGAGTGTGCGGCTGAAGAGCCCGGGGACAAGAAGCAGACTCCTAAGATTATCCTGAATGGTGCAGTTGTTGAAGACGGATTGCCAAAGGTTTAGAAGCCTCCTGTGCTCCTGTTGTGCAGAAGGTGTAAGATCAGCTTCAGGAACTTGTATATTCTTGCACCAAAAATAGCCACTGTCCATGTCGAAACAACTTCTGGCAGAAATGCCTGGGAGCTGCATTACTGAAGGAGCAGTAAAGACAACTCTTGATTCTCCAGCCATGTATGCATGGTGATAGTGTTTTTACACCATGTGATTTACTAAGATTTTATACCATTTTATACTGTTACTGAGCACTTGATGGTGCCAAACCGTCTTACAATATGATTTTCTTTTATTTTTATTTTTTAGCTATTAGAATGACCATGATTTAGAGTTAATTCAGAGTAATTATTTTTCATCTTTTTTGACTTTTAAAAATCTTATTTCACCCTGAACTGCTGTCATATGTCCAACACAGCATTTTTCCATACTTCCTCCATTACCATAGATCATCTCTCACTCTATGCCATGAGCTCACCATAGCTAATTCCGATCAGTAAATATAGTCTCATATGCTTGTTCTGAAATCCCCAAACCCATGTGGGCTGTCCACCTAGAGAAACAATGATCTCTCTAGGGCGAGATTTTTACATTCCTTGGCAACTCACCTGCTAAATTGGTAAATACACAGTTATGTTTGTAAATATGTCAGGTGTTCTTCCTGTGGACAGCACCTACTGGCCTAGGAAAGGAAGGTAGGATTTGGAGTCTGGGATGTCTTCTGCCACTGGTCTGTGGTGTTACATGGTGCTGTGGTTCTCTGCTTGGTAAATGGGGATAATGATGCTCAGGATCCTTGCACTAACAGGGTCCATGAGGGTGGGAGCGACTGGAAGGACTATTGGGGTGCTGGTCATCAGCCAGCTGATGTGCCCAGGTGGTCAAGAAGGCCCATGGCACCTGGCCTGTATCAGTAATAGTGTGGCCAGCAGGACCAGGGCAGGATTTTCCCACTGGGGAGGACATACCTTGAATCTTTTGTTCAGGTTTGGACCCCTCATGACAAAAAGAGCATTGAGGTGCTGCAGTGTATCCAGAGAAGGGCAAGAGAACAAAGCTAGGCAGAAGGAGTCACAGTATATTTTGGGTTGGAAGAGACCTTTAAAGGTCATCTAGTCCAAGCCCCTGCAGTGAGCAGGACATTTTCACCTAGATCAGGTTGCTCAGAGCCCCATCCAATCTGACCTTGAATGTTTCCAGGGATAGACCACCTGCCACCTCTCTGGGCCACCCATTCCATTATCTTACACCTCTCACTTAAAAAATTTCTTCCTTATATCTAGTCTAAATATTCCCTCTTTTAGTTTAAAACCTTTATCCCTTGTCCTGTTGCAACAGGCCCTGCTGAAAAGGGTGTCCCCATCTTTCTCGTAGTCCCCTTTAGGTACTGGAAGGCCACAATAAGGTGGCCTCTTCCCAGAGCCTTCTCTTCTCCAGGCTGAACAGACCCATCTCCCTCAGCCTGTCTTCAGAGGCTGAAGTGCTCCAGCCCTCTCAGCATTTCTGTGGCCCTTCCCTGGACCCACTCCACCACACACTGGGGCTTTATTTATAGCTTACACTGAATTAAAATATTGCGTTCAGTTTGGGAATTGGTGGGAAATTAAATATTCTGAAAACAACTAGTGAACCACCTGAAGTAGAAATTGGGGCTGACTTAAAATGTTTTCTTCTTTCTGACTGAGGTCAGAAACAGTATTTTCTTTAACAACTGAAGGATTCCATTATAGTAGGAAACTTGAATTGTTTTTGTTTTGAAATGTTTGACACAATTTTTATATTTAATCTCTTTTTCTAAGTAGACATTCTGGAAAATTAATACAGACTCTTGAACTGCATTAATTTGAGAGAATCTGCACTTTACCCTTGAAAAATAATTTATGTGAAATTTTTTACTCTGCATTAGAGTGAGTGCATTAGAATTAACTGGGATCAGCTAATTTTTCTTAACAGGAGAAATCTTCTTAATATATTTTAACATTATGACTATCAGCATATTCCTAAAGTTGCTTTATATCAGTGTAATTTAGGCCACAGGCACATATATAGGTGTGAAGTGTAATACTGAATTTCATAAAAGCATTGAGGATGGTTTGCTGGGAGTTCAATAAGCCTCAAAATTGGAAAATAAAATATTTTGAGTTGGTAAGGCATCTTTGTGTTTTCTGTAGTGGTTCTTCAAGGGAATGCTTTGATGGGTGGGATCTGTGGCATGGAAAAGCAGATCCATGTGCTGTAGCATGGAGAGTACATTTGAAAACTGATGGAGTGTGTAAGAAGTGGTGTTTGTGGGTCCAGAGGAGGCTGCTGGGGCACAGCACAAGTCTTCACTCATCACTGTTGGGCTGGTCTCTGGCATGTCTCTGCAGTGCCTGTCAAATACATCTTGTAAGTATCAGTGTGGGCCTCATTTATCCACAGGTATCACTACCTGCTATGTTTTTGGATAGTTATTTAATACTTGTTGTGACCTTCATCTGGCATACTTCAGCAATAAGGTGTGCTGTAGTGATTGTCAAGCAGACTTTGGGTTTGGCAGCAAATCTGTTTACTATGTACAGTCACGGAGATCTTATTACAAACATCACTTACTTACACAGAAGCCTTTTCAGGGCAAGGCTGGACGTACATTTTCTTAAACACATGACTAAGAGCTTTCCTGAGTTACATCTTATGTGACTGCAGCAGAATGTGTGGGCCTTATTGTTACAAATTTTGTTTTCCTTTTTTTATTTTAATTAAGACTTTCTTGCCCTCCTCTGGCTCAGACTAACAGCTGTGTCCTGCCTAATGGAGGTGCCTGGAAACAGGTGGCCTCATTGCAGGGCCTACATTCAGGTAATGAATAAGGTAATTTTATTCTTAGAATGAAAACATTGCAAGTCACCACCTCCACGCTGGACCTTAATCAGTCTGGGGATGGAAAAACAAAACAGAGAGCCGGAAATTCCTCCAGTCTCAGTTCTGATAACCATCCCTTTCAGGTCACTTTCAACCATGTGTTTGTGATTCAAGCATTTGAAAACAGTTGACAAGAGCTAGAAAATAAATTTCACAACTTGTTTTATATAGCTGCAGTAAAGTAATAAATGTTAGGGTGAGTGCATAACCTTTATGCCATGTTTGCCTGGGATTATCGTGTGAGGAAGGGTAAAGGTAGTATTATCAGTGTTTTCTGTGATTAACAACATTAAACAGAGATAAGTGTACACAGAGGCGTGTGATTGAGGGCTAAGAGGCTTCAGGCACGTGGAAGAAATTTATTAGAACATGGGAAAAGATGAGTAATAAGCTTTGGGTGTCCATGTGCTGAAGATGCAGGCAGGAGAGTGAACACTGGCCATGAAATCTCCTGGTATCATGTAGGGGAATCCAGCCCACACACAAGGGGGAGGAAATCTCTAACACCTTGTAATGCTGCAGGAGTGGGTTGGAAAACAGAAGCTGCTCCCTGATCTTCCTTTCCACCTGTCCTTCAAGCTATTAATTTTAAAGCAACACTAGCTGGATCCCTCCTTTTTCAGAAGACCATGGTCTGGACTCCTGCTGGCTGCAGCATGGGCAGTGCTGGAACCTTGAAGAGGGTCCCTCAGCAGAGCTCCTTGAAAGGCAAACTTTGCCATGCCCTTGTGTTTCTCATGTCTCAGGCCTCCTGACTCAACACCCAAAGGATGTGTTTCAGGAGTTAAAAGGGTGCTCTGCTGGCTATAGATCTTCTTATCCCTACATCCCACCTTCCAATTGTCCTGTCTGCTCCTTCAGCCTCACACTTGGCTCTGCCTTGTTCTCCCTTGCTTGAGAAAAAATCACATGTGTACCCATCAGGGAGGATGTGGGGAGGATGTGCAAGGGTGTAGGCTCACGCCTGCAGACTCAGGACAGCTAGAGCCTACTTTCTGTGCAATGTCTGTTTCCAAAGAAAAGCCAAGAAAAAATACCCACAGCAACAGCTGTTGAGCTGGAGTAGGGGGAAGAATTTGGGTTATGCTATTAATCTGTTAGAGAGTGTCCAAAGGAGGCCACGAGGATGGTGAAGGGTCTGGAGGAGAAGCTGTGTGAGGAGAGGCTGAGGTCACTTGGTCTGTTCAGCTTGAAGGAGACTGAGGGGAGACCTCACTGCAGTTACAACTCCCTGTGAGGCAAAGAAGGGCAGACACTGATGTCTTCTTTGTTGTGAGCGGTGACAGGACACAAGGGAACAGCCTGAAGATGTTTCAGGGGAGGTTTAGGTTGGATATCAGGAAAAGGCTCTTCACTCAGAGGGTGGCTGGGCACTGGAACAGGCTCCCCAGGGAAGTTCTTACAGCACCAAGCCTGACAGAAGAAGTGATTAGGACAGTGCTTTGTGATTCGGGCACATTTGAAGAAGTGTTTGGACAACACTCTCAGGTACAGGGTGTGACTTTTGGGGATGTCCTGTCCAGGGCCAGGAGCTGGACTTGATGATCCTGATGGGTCCCTTCCACCTCAGCATATTCTGTGATTCTGTTGGAATACAATCAGTGGTAAATTGGACAAGTTAGGGCATGGGTAGATTTAGTGTAAGTCGTAGAGAAGCCCTGAAGACTCATGGATAACAGAGAAAACAGCAATCATTTGCTGCACACCTAATGCAAATGCTAGAATAGGTCTGTTGCAACAACCCCACCTATTCAATAATTTGAATAATTTGAGGCATTTGGCTTCCTTACCCTTGCAAAAAAAGTCTGACTGCTGCTTTTGCTGACAGCCATTCATGTGTTCCTTCAGGACAGCTCATGAATGTACTTGCACCTGCTTAGCTCCCAGGTGAAATGGATGACTATTTTTAGGACACAGTTTCTGGGGGAAGAGGGTTAGATAGCATGCTGATCTCTTAACTGCTATAGATCCCACAAAGTGTTAGCTAGGTGATTCTAACTGTTGTCTGAATCAGCATGGTCATCTTTGTTTTAGCAAAAGGGAGCCAAAGCAGGGAAATGTAGACGACAATGTCTCTACATTGTACTGGTTGACAATATAAAAAAAATCAAAGCAACATATTGAAAAAGCTCAAAGACCTATTCTTGCAGAATATTCTTTTTCTTTCTTCCTCCCCTCCCCATTTCAATATTTGCTGCCATTTCTTTGCATGCAGAAGAATTTTGTTACGTCTATACTGATGCCACTTACTGAGAAAAAATTGAGCAGTGGGTGTGCTGCTTAAGTCTCAGAATAGCCTTTATTGTGCTTCAAGCAAGGAAAAGAAATCCCTACTGTGGAAAGTGCACTGAAAACCAGGAAGATGATTTTTTACATTTTTGTGTGAGAAATCAGACAAGTTTTGACAATATTTGGGAACATTTTGGTCAGCTCTAAGGAGAGAGAATTGTCCAAAGGCAATTTCCTTTTAATTTTAATTAAGGGTGTCTTTTCCCTTCACAACTACACCTAGGCCCCATTCTCTAAGACCTAACTGCCCAACATCTCTTATGCAGGTAGGATCACAGCATATGTAGAGAACTAATGGTAGGATAAAATTACTCCTGTTTCCTTTGTGTAATTTAGCAGCTGAAGAGTGTCAGTCTCCCCTGTAGAGATTCAGGCATCAGATCACAGATGTCATCTGGGAGCTAAGAAACAGTTTCCATGCAAGCTGAAATTGGTGCAGACATCTTGGAGAACTGCTAAGCTGTGAGAAAGTCCTGCCAGAGCAGAGCAGAGCCATAGGGAGAAAGGGAAGATTGCTGCTAAGGGGCAGAGTATTGATACAGAGACACTTAGCAGCAATGAGGAAAAAACAACAAAAAAAGCATTTAAAACTCTGTAAAAGTACAACCAAGTAGCCCAATAATAGCAGCTAAGCAATGTCAAGGCTCAGCCCTCTCCAGGCAGCCACAGAAACCAACCCTTCCACTCTTGGCTGAAGCAGGTCAGCCAGCCCTGGCTGCTCTGGTGCCTTATCAAGGGTGGTGAGCACCTTAGCTTGTTAGCTCTACCCACGTGTTGTGCATATTGACCGATAAATCAGAAGTTTAACACTTTTAAGATGTGAAATCCATTTTGCTGAGGCTTGATACCTAGCAAAAGGGAGAGCTGTTTAGTACAGGCAATACCTCTTCATCTATCAGCCTTGGCAAATCCCTGCCTTAAAAGCCAAAGCAGGAACTAGAAGCAGCATGGCAACAATTTTTGAATTTATATTAATCCTTTATTGCCAATTACTGAAAAAGGTGAGTTTTGAGTTTTGGTGTCTCCCTGTAGCCTTGTCATACCCAGCCAGCAAAGGGTGTGAGCTAATTGTTAAATTCAGTTCAACAAGTTCCTCATTAGGGTGAAATTACCTGAGTTTGAAATCTGCTAATTTTCCAATCAGGGTGAGTGTTTGCACTTGTGATTTGGAAATAATTAACACATGGTATAACATCAAAACCTATGTAAAGGCTAATGGTAAAAAGACTAATTTCCTTAGCAAGAAAGTGGTGTGCTTGGTTTCCCCAGAGTTTTATTACTCTTTTTTCAGTGTTAGTATCTGCTATGTAAGGTGTTTTTATATTTACTTAGACTGTTTTTCCATACAGCTATACTTTTTAATGATAATTTTGAAAAATTAAAAATTATGTTCTAGGATGGTGAGGTTTTTTTTTAGTTTGAAATGTTATTTTTAATTTCTTTCCTCTTTCTCCTGTTGTGCAGACTTTCCTAGATTTACTTGTTTCTATTTTCCCTAAAGTGAGACAATAAACTGATTAGGACTTTAGCCTGAGTTCTGCAAATTTTCAAATGCAGCTTCTCAGGACACCCATGTTCTGATCCTTCAGAACATTCCTAGGAATGTGAATGCCCCATAATACTTAGAAAGAAAGGATGTTCAGGAAGGACAATTAATTAGGAAAGCAGATGTGTACATGGGTGAAGCAAATGTAGTTGGAAAACACAGAAAAAAATTATACCTTAGTTTCATTACCCCTGAATTCCAACATCCTGACATAGCCTAGTTGGTCAGAGCATGGTGCTAATAATGGCAAGGCTGTGGCTTTGTATGGGATATTCACATAAGAGTTGGACTTGATGATCTTTTTGGGTCCCTTTCAACTCAATATATTCTGTGATTCTCTATTATTGGATAAGAGTAGCTGGTATAAACCAGGTATTTTTTCTGGTAAACGATGCTACCCTTGTAGCTTAGAGCATGGCACTAGGACAACTCAGTGAATTAGTGACCTGTCACCATAGGGCTTGAAAAGGAGAGGAGTGATTTTAATCTCTGGTAGCCAACTCCACCCATGTGTTAGTCCTAGTGTGAGTGTGCTGTGGATTTTGACAAGCAGGGTGTGACTTGACAGGTACTGACAAGGAGAAGTGCCCTCTCTGTGTGAGCAGGCAGCCTACCAGAGGTCCAGTTTCAGCCAGGGGAGCAGTGGCACAGAGTGGTATGTAAGCTCTGCTTGCCTATGAAAAAGGACATGGGGCTTTTCTTTGTGTTTTTTCACAGCATTGCCTTTAAACTCCTAAGACCTCCAAGCAGAGCCTCCCACAAAAAAGAAAGTCATCAAAGGCAGGGAAGTAGCATCAGATACTTTATATTGCATCTGATCTCCCAAATCTTTGTCAAGCAGCATTCTTTAGGCAGAAAGACTACCTCAAGAAGCAGCCTTTCTGTTTCTATAGCCTTTCTATTTGGGATAGAAATGTGGTTCTTTCTGGGCAGCTCTTCTCACCTGTCCAAAGATATCTATGGCAACTGTTTGCACTGAGATAGGAATTGTGTTCCAGGTACTTGTGAGTCAGCTCTCGGGAATTTCCTTACTGGAATAGTATCTCTGACTTAGATAACATGTTTTGAACAATTCCAGTACCATAATTGTTTGGAGCTTTCTCTTATCAATGTATTTTTTTTGATGAACATAAATAGAGTTTATTTTTCTTCTTTCACAAAGGAAGCATTTGTAATTTGTGTCCATGCCCATTCATACTGCCAGAACTCATATATATATATACTAATATATAACATAGAGGTGGTAGGGATTTGCATTTTCACGCAAGCAGATGATTCCCTTTCTTGGTCAGCTTTGCTTTTTATAGCTCATTGCTTATGAACTACTATTGCTTGTGAAATTCTGGGCTGCAAGTCTCATATCCCTTTTTCTATTGCTCTGTTTCTATTCACTTGCTTCCTTTTGTTTGTGACATTAGCTGCTGTGGCTTCTGTGCTTCAAAAAAAATTGTTCCCCTCTGATCTGTTTGCTTTAGTTATGGGCAATATCTCCTAAGTCAAACACTCAGAGCTGTGAGACCATCTTTATCCCCTCTTGTGTTGAGCATCCCCACACACTGCTCGTATTTAATGTGGTAAAGAGAGCATGGTCAATTAAATGACAGGGGCCAATACATTAACACTCATGATTTAGATTGGAAATGATTGCTTATTTTCCTAAAGCTATTTGTTTCCCTTATGTACCTTAGCTTCTACTTTTAAAAAAGATTAAATTTCAAGTTCTGTTGGAATAACGTTGGCCATTTCCCTGGTTCTTACTGAGCAGCTATTGTGTTAGAAAAGACATACCTGGCAACTTCGAGTTGCTGAAGAACCCACACTGTATAAGCAATCAAAGGCTTTAGGTCATCTAGCAGAATAAGTCCTGCCTGTTTTCTGCCTGGGAATGATGTTAAGGAGATGAAGCTTAACCAATAGTTTTCTCCATTTCTTTTCCTTTTGGTTACATGCTGCTTTCTACTAGGCAACCTCTTCATTCATGCTGCTTCTTCTCTTTGAAATTCTCTTATTGGAAGCCCAAAGATCATAGTCTCCTTCCCCAGACCACCTGGGGAAAATGGCCCTTACTGAAATGGGGGATGTCTGCCAAAGCTCCCTTGTGAGATTCTACCTTGTTTGGCTGCCTGCAGGGGGCCCAAGGCAGCTCCGAGCCCCCAGGTAAGTAACTGTGAGGTTAAGACGGTCTTTGCTGTCAGTATAATCATGTGTCAGAAAACCAGATGGCTTCTGGAAGCTAATAGTAGTCTCAAGCCATTCTCTGCTTTTAATATAAATTGTCCTGTTGTTTAGTGCTGGCCCAGCAGACAGCATCCCTTGGGAGGCCACAGGGAGGTGTGTGTTTTGTTCAGATCCTGAACAGCCAAAGTGGCTTGTCACGTTGCAAGGCAGCAACCAGCAGCGGCCAGGTGCCACAAGGAACCAGCTCTCTGGTGAGCCTCATTCCTGCCTGTGCTACAACTCCCTCAGCAAAGCTGCATTCATGAATCCATTGCAAAGGAATGAATTAAAATTCTTCTTGTAATGATTTTAATGGGATTTTCAATTGCTTTCGTAACATTATAAAAGAGACAATGTTAGTCTTTTACCATCATCTTTTACCATCATTAATTTTAGCCTGTCTCTCCCTGAAGGAAAAGAATGCTGATAAATGGAGAGAGATTAAAAGGATTTCATTTGGATTTATCATTCTTAATTTTCTAGTCTTAAACCTTCTCTCTGAATGGCTCTTTTTGAGGAAGTGATCTGAAACCTTTATTAGTTTAATAGGATTTGGCCAATATCACTGACCTTATCCCACCCTCCAGCAGGATTTCCACCAACAGACTAAACAGATTTCCCTGACACTATGGCAAATCCTCTCTGTAAACACTTGTAGCTTGATGAGACTTGCTATCAGTGCTTTTCCTCCAAGTGAGTAAGCAATCCTGTTGAAAGTCTCTTCTAAAGAGAGGTGAGACAAGTGTGACTAAGTGTCAGCTGGCTGTTTGTTTTTTAAAAATCATATGATTAATTACTTTAAAGTTTTCTTATCTTCTTTCTGTACTCTTCTGCCACCTGAAGCTGATGAAGAAACCCCTGTAATCATGTTGCACTAAAAAAATTGCAGTGAGAGATTATTGGTATCATTAGCCTCTGAGGTTCCAGCACACTGTCACTGAGCTAGCAAAAGAGGCTGAATTTGTTCGTGCCATGATGGAAAATATAGTTAATTCTCATTTAATTTCTTTTTGAATTTGTTCGTGCCATGATGGAAAATATAGTTAATTCTCATTTAATTTCTTTTTATTTCATAGTCTCTCTAAGGATTTCATTACCACACCATGAGAATAAACTTAATTCTGCTAATGAAGTAAAAATCGCTGTATTTGAGGTAATTTGAGGTAATAACACTAAAAAAAATATAAAGGAATACAACAAAATATTTGAGGTAATAACACTAAAAAAAATATAAAGGAATACAACAAAATAATTGTGTCACACCTCCAACTTTCCCTTTGTTTCCACATTTCTTCCCAGATGAAGAATTCACTGTAGCAGCCACAGGGTAAGTTATGTCACAGATTACGGAGCGAACTCCCTGTGGAGTGCTCAGGGACTCCACCTAAGGAGAAGTGGTCTGTACAGGCTGAGCCCGCTGCCTGTAACTCTCTCCGAGCAGCGGATGCCCCGCATTTCGAGGCGCTAGATGGCAGGCGGAGACAGCGCAGCCGCTCCTCCGGCAGCGCCGCTCGCTCTGCGCCTCCCGTGCCTTCACTGCTGCTCCCCGCCTTCCCTGCCAGCCTCGCACTTTATTATTAGCACACCGAGCTCAGTTTCTTCGCCTTCGGTTGTAGTTAAGTAATACTGACGTCTTTGATTTTGGAGGACGTGTTGTTTCGGCTGCTTTAAGGAATGGCTGCAAGCGGTGAAACGACCCTAGCTGCCACTCC